TCTTAAAATCTTCTAATCCATTATAGTTGAAAACTTCTTAGGATCTACTATAAAACCATCATTTGAAATAATTTATCCTAAAAAGTGAATTTGAGTAGTGTAAAATATATACTTTTTTACATTGACATATAATCCTACATCTCTAAGTTTTTTTAACACATAACAAATATAAAGTTTATATTCTTCTATATTTTTAGAATAGATTAAAATTTTGTCTTAGTAAAAAATTAAAAAATCATCAAGAAATTCACAAAAAGTACTATTCAATGTTGAAAAGTATTTAGTGCATTTGTAAGTCTAAAAAGCATAATATTTTATACAAAATATCCATATCTACTTCAAAATGTAGTCTTTTATTCATCTCCTTCTTTGATATGGACTACATTATATACTCTTTATAGATCTATTTTTATATAAATCTTTTCTAAATTAAGTTAATTAAGAAGTCTTCAAATCAAAATTAAAGAATATCTATTTTATAGTAATCTTATTGAATCTTAGATAGCCCACTTATATTCGCAAAGATCTATTTTTTTTTCTTCATAAATAAGATAAGAGCTCCTATTAGAGATTTAGAATGGTATGTAAAATTTTTAGCTAAATTCTTATTAATGTGTTTTTAAAGTGTAGCTAATTTATTATGCAATAAGCTATAGATTGGTCTAAATGGCAGTTGAGCTTTTTTTTAAAGATCAATAGAATATTTATAAAAATAATTTTCTAAAATAATATCTATATTTTTCTTTTCAAAAATTTCTTAATAATCTTGATACTAGCTTAGAATGCCATTTGATGTCTTTTGACCATCAAAAAATTATTGATATGTATGTAGCAAAAAGAAATATTTTTTTTGCAACATCTATAAAAACTCTTGTAGCTATCATTAAGGATTTGGTTGTGTTGGACATATGGATTTCTACTCAACTAGTAGAATTTTAGATTAAACTAAAAAAAATCAAAGTAATGAGAAATGTAGTTTTTTAAAAAATTATATTTCTTTAATTATAATAATCATAAAATAACTAGGTTGGAAGAAAATCTAATCACATTTAATGTTATTTAGCTATTATAATCATGAATATTTACCTCTAAATAAATAATTTTGTAGATAATATCTCCAAAAGACAACAAATGACTATTTATTATTTTTTCATGCATGGATTTGGTTTTTAATTAAATAATTATTTTTTTATATATAAAAAATTAATTAAAAAATAAATAAAATTGATTCTTTTTAAGATTCTAAAATTATACATATAATTATCTTCAATTTTCTATTCTTAAATTAAAAGACAAATAGAATAAATAAATCAAGTTTTGGAGCAATATTTGAGGTGTACTATAAACTATCAAAAAGATGATTGAACAATTTTTTTACCATTGGTAAATTTTTCTTATAATAATATGATATATTTTTCTATTCAAAAAATTCCTTTCTTTGCCAATTATGGTTATTATCCACAATTTGATACTTTTGACTTTTCAAAAGTTAATAATTCTACAAAAGAAGATTTAAAAAATTATTTATTAAAGCTATATGCAATAATAAAGGTACAACTAAAAGAAGCTCAAGAACAACAAAAGATAAATGTAAATGTCTATTGCAAAAAACAATCCCAATTCTATCTTGGCAATAATATATGATTATCTTATTATAATATTAAGACTATTTGCCTTTGTGAAAAGTTGCATTATTGTTATCAAGAGGGTGAGCCTCCTCAAGAGAATACATGATTCTTAATTATAAGTGGGTTGCAAGAAAGTACAATGTTATTTTTAATGAACTCAAATATAAAAAAATAATCCAAAAGTTGAATATAATTTTTAAATTAATTCTTTTTTTATACCAAGATGCATCCAATATCTAACTCTAATTTCAAAATCAAATCTAATTAACTTATTATTAATTCAATCTAGGCAAATTTTTGCGCATTGAGCTTAATTCAAGCTACAAACTTCAAAATATTAAAATCAACAAACAAATTTTAAAGAAAATGAGAGCCAAACTAAAAAAAAGTTGGCTATTTGCTATCAATTGCAAGTTTATAGAAAAAAGAAATAACTACAAGCAATTTGCAAATTGAAGGATTTTAAACTTAAGATGAAGAGTTTAAAAGAATGACAAATTTTGAATCTATTTGTGAGTGGCATTGTAAATAAAAGATATTTATCAACTTATTGAATAATTTTGAATAATTTTTTTCCTAAATGGTTAATTAATTGTGTAAGTCCTTATTTTTCCATTTTTTTTGTTAGTTTGATATCTGATAGTTATTATTCCTTATGTGAAGAATTAATAGTAGAATGTTGTGATATTTATAAATAATTTTTATATATTTGAAATATCATTATTTTAAAATATAACTAAAAATATTTTTTAAAATTTAAAGATATTTGATATAATTAAATTTAATATTTATTTTTATTGAAGTATTATCTACCAAAATTTCTCTCTTGTTGCAAATTCATTGTTTCTTGTTTACAAACCTAATATTATTTTTTTCAATTCTTTTATCATTTTTTTTATTCCTAATACCTTATAAGATTCTACACTTATTAGTTTTTACCTCCACTTCTTCTTTCTTAATTATTTACTCAATTCATCTCTAAATTTTTGAATCCTAATTTTTTTTGCTTTATAGTTTTATTTTTTTTTTTTTATTTATTAAAAATAATTTTAATTAAGAATTTTTTGATAGTTTAGTATTTTTAGATTTTTTTAGATTTTAATTTTATTCCTATGATTCTTCTCTATTTCCTTTTTTTACAAAGATAGTAATTCTCATTTAAATTTGGTTGCTATATATATATATATATATATATATATATATATATATTAAATTTATATTTTTTTTTTAAATTCAGTTTTTTTAGAAAGTGTAGAAATTTTAGAGTATAAAAGTTTGTATTAAAATTTTATTTTTATGAATAAAAATAAGTAAATGATTGTAATATGATTCCAAAGTTAAGATTTAACTTGTAAAAATAAAATCATTTTTTTACCTTTATTAAGATTGTATTAAACCATTTTCTAAGACATATAACAAAAACCTTAAAAACCATGCATTGAAATTTAGTATGAAGACTTTTAAACTCAAACCTTAATGTGAAGACTTTGGAGCCAGATTCAACTTTCTTCACCAAAGGAATATGATTGTTTTTGGGGAGATTGCTGATGTGTCAGTTTGTCAATGGCAACAAATATGTAGTGTGATGTTTTTGTGGCGGAAACAAAATGGCTGTGGAAACTGTCAACGTAGGAGCTTCGAGGAAAGGAGACCGGATAATGGTCAACGATGATCTTGGTGGCCACTAAATTTGACGATCTACTGAATTCCCAGCATCGTTTTTGGCCCCATTCTCCTCAGTTAGCTTGTTTGTTTGTTTGTTTGTTAATGTGTATGTATGTATGTATGTATGTATATATATATACATATACATATACATATATATATGTATTATGAAGATCGTGGAAATGATAGCGTGAGACATTAGGCTTCTCGTAGCTCGTTCCAAAAGTCGAGCCGGAGAACATGCGACTGTCGGATTGCCTCCAGGTGCACACAAGAAGTAAACAGTGAGCACAAATTTTTTATTACATATTCTGGTGTGGGTAAGCTTTGAGCTTGTTCTCACTGACAGCTTTTTGAACATGTCATTTTGATTCCTCGCTATTTCTGGGTGCCGGGCAGCCTTCGGAAAGACCACTGTTTTGGAACACTGTTCACCACCCCGAACCAGTCAACATTGCCGACGCTGTCTGAAATGCAGTGGAGCTGAGGTGTTGTTGACTTACAACAATGAAGGAACGCTTGTCAAGGGGAATTGTTTGTAAAAATTGGGACTAATCTGAGACTAGGGAGCACAGTTGGCTTCGAAGATCGTAAGGTTTCTAGAAATTGCATTTTTGGCGTGATCGACGCCTGGAGTGAGATGAACTGTGAGTTGAGCATTCTCGTAGGCTTGAGGCTGGTCCAAGGACGTTCAAGGACTAGAACGCTCTCATCTATTCTGTTCGGTTTATCAAACAGTTGTGTCATGCCAAGGAGAAGGGTATGGAGTACATCACAACCATGAAAGTGGATTTCATCCAAGGGTTACTACAAGGGGAGGAATTCCGCGCTGCAGAAGCAATCCACAAGAGTTCGTGGAACACTATTTGGGACAGACTAATTGCAGCCATACCTCACAACAATCCTACTTCTACGGGAAGAGAGCTATTTTCTGGTTCTCAGTTGCAGTATCATAAATATTTCGAAGAATTCAGCGATGGTTAGGACAAAATGCTCGAATGAAACGATCGACCTTAGAAGAAGAATCCCAGCAATCACTGGTTAAAAAAGAAGAAGACAATCCCAGCATATGAACGTCCAAGGACTAGAATGTTGGAATGGTTCTCGGGGCTCTTCAGTCACACTGGTCTACATCTCGACCTTTCGTTTACTCTACCCCTGATCTTCGCAAAGCTTTAAAAACATTCTGGGCTTTGAGGGGAGGGTAAAATTAGACTCAACTAAACTACAGTAAAAACTGCAATACACATACCTCAAATGACATCGGTGGCAAGAGCTGCATTTATAAATCATGCGAGAGGATTTCAATTACAAATATTTTGTTCGTTGAATACCGTTTCTTTTCTTAATGGACGCATCGAACCAAACTCGATTTCTATATTTAGAAATTAGTTTTTGGTTGCTATTCAGTATCAAAAGCATCTGTGAAAACGAAAAGAAAGAGAAAGATAACAAAGTCACTGAATTTGATTTTTATTACTAAATCTGCGTGCCAGATAAGTTTCCTGTCGCCAAGCCTTACATCTTCTCTCTTGAGGAGTAACTTCATCATATTGAAAGAGCGAATTTACTTAAAACACATCTAAGCATTGCTGAGAAAGCTTGCTCCTCCTGAGGATCGAACACGAAAATTTATTTGGATCCAGAGGTTACTGCTGCACAGCGAGGCAACAAAAGAACTAAGTGATTCCTTAGGCAATTTGTATGTGAATTTGAGAGGAAAACACCACCAATTCATGAGTGTTGGGAGTGACAATCAGGATACAAGATTATTAGAAGAACGATGATCCTATACAGTGGTAACCACGCAGCGAATTTATGAGGTCGCTTCTATTGTTTCTTAAGCAATGTTTCCTACCGTAGAAATACCTTGACAATTGTTTCCACCTTGACGTAAACTTCCTGGCTGCGATCATGCAGTACAGAGTACTCTCGGATCCTACAATCTAGTGAGGTCACACACGAGCAGGTTGCCGATGATCTCTATCCTCACGTTCTTTAAGTAAATGAGCAACGATGTTTAGTTCCTCATGCCACGCATTCACCACTTCTGATGCCTACTGCACCTGCTTCTCAACTGAGATAGCAGCATGCAATACCGACTGGAGTGCACCCATGAACGTACAGTCTATCATCTGCACATGCACGCAGTGGCTATGTTTGGTCATGGGTACATACGTTCAATCATAGGGGCTTTCACCTTAGTTTGGTGGAGTCAATTCAGAAGGTCGTAATAGACTTTTGGTCGGTGCTGAGGTGCACAAATTTTCTGCGTCCAAGAAAAAAAAACATATAAATCCATCTTGTATGAACAATTTTCATGTTTTCATTTGTCCTGTGCTTTGACATTGAGGAATTAATGAATTCTTGTAAAAAATGAGTAAATAACGTTATTGTTTAAGCGGTTAGCTCTTCATCTTGGCCATGTTTCCTTGGATGAGATTACCAACCTCGAAAGCAACAGCCACACGCAGAAGTGCAGCTTCAGACCAGGGTTTCCCGACCAGCTGAAGTCCTACAGGCAATCCTTTGGCATCATACCCTACCTACACACCGATGCCACATTTCATTGTTAGAACCCAAGACAAAAATGAAAAGAGATTCGTAGTTCTTTCAGTACAGGGTGAATGAAAGAAATTTCTTCAAGTGGAGTTCGAAATGCCACATCCACTATGGTTCAAACATAATTTCTGAAATGTAAAAGTTAGAGCAGGAAAAATACCGGTAAAGTTATAGCTGGCAGACCTAAGAGATTTCCAGCGATTATAAAGCGCATTAACTTTCCTGCAAACGTTCTATCACAACCTGAGTCACCAATCGAATAAGGTTCTCAAGAGCACATAGTTTCCTTTGGGCTATCTTTAAAGAGAATTGAAAATGCAGAGATTCAAATAGTTGATCGACCTCCATGTTGGTAGTCCAACTCTCCATATTGTTCCGCATCATCTCTGATGGGTGGTGCTGTACACCTGAACATGATATTGTAATATGGCAAGAATTAGGTCGATCAATAGAATCCAATTACTTTACTTACATAGGTCTATTTAAAACGGTATCAATAGGAATCTGGAAATAACCATCCATATCTAGCATGCCCTTGAATGACCATGACGAGGTCCTGCTCGACTTTGCTAGACTTACGCAGTAGTCGGAGTGACAATAAAATCCGCTTCTTTGAAGACTTCCATATGGTGTTGCATGCAACGCGACCTGCACAGAATGGATTAGCTTAATCGTCACTCGGATTTTTTCAAGTTTTTCAAACTCTAACTGCGCAGTTGGACCGTAATTTTGATGAAGTCCTCCCAACAAGGCTAAGGATTAACAGATTGGAATAGCAAATAGCACATCGCTGATTGAATTTCCATCAATACAAGCAGTTGAGGACAGAGTTTCAAACTCAAAAAAATGCTTGATATGAAATAGTGCAGACCTCAGTCGTTGTGCTGTGACGAATTCTCGGTTGCTGAAACCCTGAAAAATCGAAATAGTGGACCGGACGTCTCCACCAGTTGTCTTTCGACCCCTGCCAACAACGTATTTCAATGCTCCCAGTTATCAGACGCGTCGTCTACAGATGAGGTTGCCCAAAACATTAACAGGAATATTATTTGATAATCATTAACTGATAACGATATCAAGCAGAAAAGACCACATACAGATTTTCGTACTCGACGCCAAGGGAGGCAGTCAATTCACCACCCATCGTTATATAGTGCGCCAATCGCATCTTGTCAAGATCTGGTATTGAGGCATCCACAACCTGCATTCCACACCTGACGTGAACACAATCTTGCAGGGGCCTCTTATCAGGCACACAATTTATTTTTCATTGCAGAACGATTTTTTGAAATGATCCATGATAAATCGTCAGAATTGTACGTAGTGTACCAGAGCCTGGAATGCACAGTACAGAAATATGCACAGATAGCAAATAAGGCACTTACTTTGCATCCGTAGGTATCCTGTATTAGCCGCAAGGCTGAGTCGCACACACGCCACACAGAATCATCGGAATCATTGTACCACTGCTCAACACCCCGATATTGTCATACGAATCAGTAAACCCGTTCCAATTGTATATCATCACAAACTTGAAATGACGAAAGCTTACATTGAAAGTTGAATTTTACCTTTGAGAACTTCGCAAGTTTAATTTCTTCTATCAATTTCGCCATGATATTTGGTTCCATTTGAACGTCATTTAGAAGAGGTAAAGTTGCTGGAGGCTATGCATACAAACCACGGAAGTTAGGATCAGAAATACCATTAACAGCAGGAAGATTTGGGGCAGTACACAACCATGAACAACAGGAAATATTTCAATTTCATCCTATTTCGTTCCAGCACTTCTATAAGAAGGGAAACAAACTCACAGGAATGGACACAAGTTTGTCAGAGGGAAGATGTCCTTGGACAGCTGCATACCTGCAGAAGCACACTCAAGCTGTCAAAAACAATAATCTACCGAAGTTTTGCGAGGAATGGTCATACAGAGAGTTTTGAGATGATCGAGTAACTTACACGATATATGCATCCTCCACAGTGCCGGTGAGCGTTCCCACCATTCCTATTGTCCAGTTCAAAGGCAAAAGTCTTCACCCAGAATTGCCATCGTTAAGGCTCAGTGATAAGAACACGAATGCAAGGACATGATCGTAATAAAGCTCGTACTTAATCACGAAATTAGATCCTGACCAAAATGATAGTTGGTACGACGTAGGGGTCAAGTTGCACATTGAAATAGAAGAGTGGAAGAACGCACCCTGATTTTGCAATTCGGCCAAAAGTGGGTTTGAGACCAACCACCCCACTTAAACTGGCTGGCATTCGTACGGAACCTGCACAACCTCATCAAATCTCATTTCGGATTCACATCTTACAAGGCTTCGAGAATCTCAGTTCATCCACCATTCGCTGCTTGAAAGTAAGTAGGATGAAGAGGAATAATGCGCCAATACCTCCTCCATCCACGCCCAAAGCAACTGGGCAAAGGCCGGCAGCTACAACAGTGGCAGATCCGCCTGATGAGCCTCCCGAGACCCTCGTCATGTCATGGGGGTTACGGGTAGCCCTGCATGCAAATTACTCGTAAGCTTACCACCTAAGAACACTTAATCATCAATATCTCAACTACTAGCTGACCTAAAATTTGTACCAAAGAAGTACAGGAAGCTAATGCACATACCCATAGTGAGGATTGATGCCTGTGGTTCCAACGCCGAGCTCGTGCATGTTGGTTTTGCCAACCATGACAGCTCCACATTCCCGTAAGCGCTTCACAACCGCTGCGTCTTTAGTTACTTGCCTGGCTTTACCTAGCCACGTGCTTCCTCCTGCAGATCATTGCCAGGAGACGACCAATTCGTTTTACTAGCAGCTTCAGCAAAGTAACGCAGCATTGCCCGTAAATGACAGAGACTTGTGTATTACATCAGGTTACTTTAAGATTTAGCAATTTAAGTAAAGAAGGAAACCGAGTTCTGAAACCAGCACTTGAGGTTAAATTAGATTGCTCATACCGGTGGTGGGGTAAGGCAGGCAATCGATCTCATCTTTCACCGCAACAAGAACTCCGTCCAACACAGACAATGGCTTCCCTGCGAAGAATTGGGCATAAATAATTTGCAATCTTGACATTCTACAGATTGTGATCACCTCCACATCATAGGTAAGGTATTCATAAACAGCTAGAGCTATGACTGGGTGCGCAAATCATTTGCAACATTGTGAATCACAGCAAATTCGACATTGAAACTGTACCTTGTCGGTATCTTTCTGTTGCGGCAGCAGCTTGGGAGATCACATCATGAAAATCTAAAGAAATAAACAGATTTAAACCTCGTGACATCTTCCGCGAATCCTCTATCGAAGTGAGAAACCGTTTAGCCACCTACATGGTTGACCGATTGGATCGTGAACAACACGGTTCATTGACTTCAATAACGACGCTCAAAATGAAATTGCCAAGCAGCTTGCAGGTTGTAATAAATCGTTGCACGACCTACCTCTGTTGGAGTAACCCTTCCGGAAGTGTACGCATCGGCGTAGTCACGAATTGTTGCGTACTGAAACTTTCGAACGTCGATTTGGTCTTCTTTCCCACAATACGTTAAGGTATTCGACAAATAAGGCGGCAGACATTCCACAGCTGCTGCTACACACTCAGGGGCAGAGAACTTCGTCTCCAGAACTTGTACAAACTTCTCCTCTTCTATCTCATCTGCCAGTGACCCATGTGAATCATGATCTTTTGAGGTGAGATCATCTGACCTCCAGTCAAAAATCCAAAGGTGCTGTATTAATAACTGGAATGTGCGCAAGCAAAGTGCAATCAATTTTAGGGAAGATTGTACCAAAATATTGCGGTTTATACATGGGTTCCTCGGAATACTGCGTATTCATAAATATCTGTATATTAATGGACAATCACCGCATCAGAACGATGTGACACCAGGAAGAAATTTCACAAATAGCTTGAAATCACATTCACTGTTCTTAGGTTGAATCGACGCCTTCCATTTCTACTCTTGAACAGCAAGCAATACGCAACCACCAGTCGGCATTTCCTCAAGCCAAAGCAAGTGCAGCGAATAGAAATGTTAAATGAATACATGAAGGATGCGTACCTTGGTGACATTGTTCACTTTCTTCAAGTAAAAAAGAATAATAGGGTGCAATAGACTCATCTCAAGAAGCCAACAGAAGCACTTGAGAAAAAACCCGGCCAGGCGAGGAGCTACAGATTTTAAAAAAAAAAAGAGTTATTCATGCAGCACTTTCACAAGTTCACACTTCAGGCACAAGCTCGATCACGCTCTAAAGTTATTCGGATCCTGAAACTGCTAACGAGTTAAATCCCTGTAGATTGCCATGAGTAGTTGAAATTCTGCTCATTCTGATACTGAAGAATCGGAAACCCCTAGAACTTGAACAACTTGCATTGTTAGAAAACGTTGTCCTGAATAACTGATGTGGACATTCTAATCGTGCCCGACCTTCAATTGAAAGCTGAAGCTAAGCTCCGCCAGCATTCACTCTCTATTTTTTGGGTTTCTGGCGAAGAGTAGGAATCTTGTGACAGTATGTAGAGTTCTGATGATTCTCTCACATACCGATGAAAATTAAGTTTCCAGTGGATTTCCACGACGGTATGGACATGATTCGATGGAGGCAAGGTCATGTAAGAGTCGAACCAGAAATACCTTTCTCTGTTATATACACGTATTCATTTGAGTTTTTCTCTTCCATGGCGGTGCAACTCGGTGGCTGCATGCCCATATTTTCGGCATGCATCTTGGTATCGGTCATCGCCACCCACCCGGGAGTTTAAATTGAAGCTGGAGTTCCCCACTCAAACACCTCCTTGCCTGCTCAAGAAATGTTAGACGGAACACAACTTCAAGAGCTGAATCATTTTACTCGATCCAGCACCGCGTTATCCTCCAGAAGACCAACATGGACCTAAACAGATCGACTCAGCTATTACCTTCTCGATCACAGAAGTTGGTAGAACAAAGTTGAGGGCGAAGAATGCAACTCCAGCAACAAGACTGCGTGGTACGCTACGAGAATTAACAGATTTCTACTGTCCCTACTGTTCAATCTGCCGGTTAGTTAGTAGGGTGGAGCAATGACAGCAGCAGCAGATTGGAGGACCCCCTATTTCCGAGTTTCAACAGAGAACACCATCAGTGGGCAGGACTAGAAGCCAACATTTAGGGATTTATACTGAAAAAGGACTTGTTGACAACATAATAATCCACACACAAAAATAGAAAGATTCCTCTAAGAAGCTCTTAGAAACGCGTAACAGGACAAGCTCACTGTGTTCCTAGAGTGCAGTCGTCGAGGCGGAGAACAGAAAATTTGACGAAGCACATCATTCTGGCTGACCTTCTCAATTTCATTCCAAGTTGTCTCCTCTTGCAGCCTCGGGGTAATGACGCTGTGGCTGAGTAACTGGTTGACTCAACTGCCCAACAACCAGTCCGTGAAGAACGCTTAGAACATCGACTGCACGATTCTCTTCAGTGCTTTTTGGGCGTGATCAACTTGATGTAATTATTCAGAACATACATCACAGGTCACTAAAGTATCACACTAAACGTGTGTTATTCGGGGGATAAATTAAATTCATTGTCATGGAGAGAACACTAGCAGTTGCAGGAACAGCTAGCTTCAATCGCAGTCGTCAAGTTGCAATTTATTCCATCAAGTGGCATGGCCGACCCTTGATCCGATCGATGTAGGCAGATCGACCAGATCAGCTGGCCTCGATAGCACCAATTTAATGAGAGTCATGTGACGGAACATCCGGAGCCAGCTTTGTGGAGGGTAGCGTCCAGAACTCGTCATATTATATGGATGCACTGACTCTCTAAACGTCATGCTGCACTGTACAAGTTGAATTTTCCTTTCTTTTGGCATGATTAGGAGTGTGGTGGCAGTGCTTCCGTTGTGGTGATAGTGAGTACTCATCAACGTCGATCATCGCAATGTAAGCAAATGTTGCGTTATACTCTCCTACCCTAGCATTATTCTGCCACTCCACAGCCTAGTGATCCACCCAAAAAAAATAACCACAAAAAAAATAAAAAAATAAAAAAATAAAAAAATAACTCATTGCCAATCATTCAATGTCATTCCGAGCGGATTCCGCATGCCGCGAAAGAGTTTGTCCTGTCCCAACTCGGTTACGGTCTGTCAGTTTTTTAATCTTCAAGTGAGTGCGAAGTTAAAAATACTCAGCCATGGGGTTGCAGACAGATTATCAGATCTGTTTAGTTTTTATTTGCTCTACAACAGCAGCTGCCGTCACCCTCGACATAACTGAAGTGCGATCTGTCTTACATACTGAAACGGAATTTATACCACTGCAGCAATCTTCGTCGTCATCAGTTGGAGATTGATACTCCAACATCCCGATTAGAAAAAAACTCAAGATGTTGACACTCGGAACGAGATGCTAAGGTTGTCAGAACAATAACGCTGCTGGCTCGGAATCTCACATGCCAGCAACTGGCAGGTTCAGAAGTCACTTCAACTCAGCCACAAGGACAATCCGATTCAAAAAAAAAAAATACTTGATAAAATATTGACCAGCTTGACTTCCATAACTGCACCACCATGCATGCCATCAATATGGTTTACTGCAGTCATAACAGTTCGTGGAGTTATTTCTCTCTGAAGAGTTTCAGAAGGGAAGAACATGCAATAAGTGTCATGTTTCCAACTTAAGCAGCTTCTGTTTCCGGCCAGTTTGTTGGGGAGATTGGGTCCTCCCACTTCATTTCTTCAGCATTTTTTGAAAGTTAGTTTTGTGTCCGTGTAAGCTCAACTCATTCTATCGGTTAGGTGGGTCGACACTGCAACTGTTCCGGCCCGGAAAATAATGCCTCGAAGAAAAGCTTTATAACAGTCCTATTGCATGTCTGAGGAAAGAAATCATGTGCAGGTCTGATTGGCAGTAGCCGCTTTTGGAAGGTCACGTTCGTCTGAACCCCAGTTGTTAAGAATGTAGTAGATCTTGCTTGCAAATGATCATTTATTCTTCTTCAGAGATGATTTAAGACAATGACAGGATATCGGTCTGGATTCGTGTGGTGATGTCACTAACAAACAATGCAAAGGAAGCAGGATTGAAATGTAGCTACTAGTGAATTCTGCACATAGAATTCTTTTAGGGTGGGAAAAAAACGTGAGTTCAAAATTTTCTAAGCATGGGATTGTTGAAATAAAAAAGGTATTTTTTTAAATTGGTTTTATATTTACGAAAATCTAAAAGGTTCATACCTAGATGCAAAATTTGAAAGGCCATGTTTCAACTGATTTACTAAGGTTCTTCATTTGGTGAAAAAGATATTTCTTTGGAAGCTTTTGAAGATATAGTATAAAGTAAGAAGAGGCAATGAAATAAACCAAATCATTTTTTTATTACAAGTCTAAACATTTCAACTCAAATCTTTGTTTTTATAATTGTAAAGAGTAAAAATATTTTAATTTTTTTTTCTTTTGAAAGATTATTTCAAAAAAAAATTGACATGGCTTCTTGAATTTTTTTGAAAACCATGTCATAAGATGGATTCAATAATACCTCTAATACTTAGGCTATGTATTTCATCTTATGTATCGTCAAAAACTAAAATAAAGTATTCAATTGCAATTAGACTTTCTCTATTATATAGTTCCCTAACATTTTCTTTAACATAGTTCTCTATGTAATACATTTGATGATCTCTATTTTAATAACTTCCATCTCAATTCTTATATAAAAACTCTAAATACTTATTTCACTTTGTCTACTTTATTTTTTATTTTAATCTTTTTTTAATTCTTCACCTGTTGGATGACTTTATCATCATTCAAACTACTAAAATTGTTTCAAGTAATATATTATGTTATAACACATATTTTTCTACATAAATCCTTATAATATGTCTTATCAAATTTTAAATAATTTTCTTTTCAATGATAATAATATTAAATAAAAATAATATTTTTTTTTATAATTTTTTTTATATACCATAATAAAAAAAATCTTTAAAATGATTAAAAATTACAAATAAGGGTTTAGGCATTATAAAAGTTTATAATTTTAATTTCTAAACATTATCGAAAAAATTTGGCTTCTTATTATTTACCTTGAAAATATTTTAAGTTTTTAAAAAACTTATTATAAATAATTTCTTCTCTATTGAAGACAACATTGTTAAATTTTGGTTCTTCAATAGAAATATATTGTGTAAAAATATTAGTTGTTAAATTCTACACCTACAATCAATTTTTTTTTATGATTGCTTAACCATATCTTTAATTTATCATAATAAGCATCAATACAATTGATGTTTTGATTTATATAAATAAGGCATTGCATGTTAAAGATTATATATATATATATATATATATATATATATATATATATATATATATTAAAAATATTTAATAAAATATTCAATTCATAAATTTTTAAAAAACTTAATAAAACTAAGAAAATAAAAATTTCTTGTAGAATTCAACAAAATGTTAGATGACTTCATAAAATCTACAAAATCTAAAATTTAAAGTATATATTGAAATTATAAAAAAATTAGAATTTCTTCTAAACCCTAAAAATTAAATTTCCAAGTAAAATCCAATAATTTATAAGTTAATCCAGTAAAATTTTAAAAAATAAAATTTATAATATGCTAATAATCTAAAAACATTGCAAATATACAAATTAAACTTAAAAAATAAAATATCAAAAAAAATCCAAGAAACTTCAATATTATTCAATACAACCTATAAATTTTAAAATCCAAAATATGCATCAAATGTATTTATTTTTAAGAAAAAAAATAAAATATTCTAAAAAATATATTAAAATTTTTAAAAAGTTTAAAAACTTACAAAAAATATGAGAAAAAAACATATACTAATACGAAGCATTAAAAATTTAAGTATAAATGATTGCAAAATTTACTAAATTTTTTAGAAAATTTTCTTTTATAGTATATTTTGTCATATGAGTAGTTGTTATCTGGTGTAATTAATTATGGATTCTATCTTGTTTAATAATAAAGAATGTATTTCAGGAATAAAAGAAAATTTAGTAAGTTTTATATTGGTAATGTTTATTAGATAATTTTTATTATTAATAAATTTATAAAATTTAAAAATTATTTCGTTCAAATCAAAGAATATATTTTAAATTATAAAAATTATTTCTTTTGTGGAAGCATATTTTATCTAATATACAACTAAATTTTTATATAATGAAAAGTCAAAAAGATAAAATAAATAAACAAATAAGTGGAGATATACTAATAAAATGGGATATTCATTGAAAAAATGCATCAAATTATAAATCTAATAATATAATACAAGAAAAAGTGAACAAAAATATCTAATTTATCTTTTTTTAATTTATTTAATCCAAGTTTTTAATATTTTCTTATGTAACCCATTAAATAAAATTAAAGTGAATAACCAGTATGTATAATCATTAGTCTTAAACTTATAATCTATGGAAATATGTAAATCCTTACCATGTAAAAAGATCATTACTTTTTGTTATTAATTTTGGATACCAATAATAAACAGACTATTTAGATTTATTCATTTTGAAAATTTTATATTAATTACAATATTTTTATACTCATATTATTCACTTGTTTATTAATTTTTATAATATATAATATCTCTAAAATATAAAATTATCTCTAAACTTTTTATATTTATCTTTTTAGTCTAATTATTTGAATATATCATTTTTTTAATCATAAAATGTTTTTTTTAATAATTTATCCATTTTTTAATAATAAATCATCAATACAATAAGGATTATGCCGGCTTGTTTCACTTATTATTTCTTTGGAATAATATTTCCATTAATTGATGCCTACCCTTTTATATTTTTCATTATACTTACAATGATGATGTATGACTTCAATAATATGTACTTAAAAAAATAATATCTAGACTCAACATCTAAAATTCATCTACTAAACACACAATAAGTTGCATTACTTATCTTATCTTTTCTTTTTTTATAGTAATGATGCTCTAATAACTAAAAAGATAATTAATATCTATTAAAAAATGAGGTTTTTGAGTAAATAAACTTAATATTTAATAAATGTATGAAGTTAGGCTATTCACAATTATTTCATTACCTTTCTTGTATTTTAATCTTGATTCAAAACCTTCTAAGTTCTTTGTTATTAGCAATATATATTCTAATTTATCTTAATTTTATCTTTTTTTCTTATTTGTCTACTTTCTTTCTTTTAATAACACAAAAGTAATTTTTTTTAAAGATTTTATTTTAATTCAAGTCTTTGATAATTTGAAAATACTACTAAGTTATTATAATGTTTTTGTTTAAAAATTGAGTGGATTATTTTACT